ATATATTTGTATGTATGTATGTATTGAAAATATGTGGTTTCTGTGTGGAGGCATGAATTTGATTAGAGTGCATTTGTTTTGTAGGAAACTGTTTTTGAGGAGTCCAAATCTCTGGAATTTTCTTTAAATAATGCCAGGAGAGCAATGGAAGAGTTGGAAAAGATTGTAACCGGGATGGTCCTTGTTGTGATAATCCTTGTGTGGTTAGTTATGTTGAAAGTCTTAACGACTCAAGCAGTTATTGTGATTTTAACTCAATTTTTCGTTCTGGCATTCATGTTTGGTGAGACTTGCAAGAGAATATTTGAAGGCGTTGTGTTTTTGTTTGCCACACGCCCATTTGGAATAGGCGATCGTTGTGTTATAGAAGATGGAGATGAGGTAAATCTCTTATCATATATACATATATATATATTTATTTATATAATATGTACGTATGGAATCTTAAGAGTTAAATCTATTAATAAACAAATATTATTTTATAAGTTAATTTCAGTGAATAGATCTTAAATGCTATCAAAAAAATTAATTTTTTTAAATACATTAAACCGATATAATGATACGTTTTTAAGATTATTTGTGGAGAGATTAATATTAAGGTGTATAAGTGATAGATCGATGAGAACATACTAATAGTAAATATGAAAAAATAAAATGCATGCATGGTAATTGTAGGCTTCTAGCTAGCTATATATAATACGTGATACTTGACATAATTGAAGTTTTACAGATGTTTGTGAAAGAGATTAATATTCAAACAACCGTGTTTTCGAGGGATCCTGTTGGCCTCAAAGATGATGATGATGATAAGGCGAGAATTGTGTATCCAAATTCAGTTTTATCTGGAAAATACATTCGCAATTTTCAAAAGATTCCAGCCCCTCCAAAACTTAGTTTGACTGAGTCTGCAGAGTTTGTTGTTGATGCTTCTACCTCCATAAAGCAGATTCAAGATCTCAAGGCCAGAATAGAAAGGTGAGTCAACATTTAGTTTTCTCTTTGATCTCACTTTCAGGTAATGTTTGATATAAATGAACTCCATAAAAACAAATGGAGAACTCATTTGCAAATACATAGGTTTTTGTGTTAATTTGGTTTAGTTAAAATGTTTTTATTTTAATTCCATGATATGAATTCTTAATCTATGTTTGGTTTGATTAAAAAGTTTAAATTTATTGTACATTAACTTCTAAATTATGGAGTTAGTCCTAATTCAAATTTGTTCCATTTTAATGTGATTTCAAAATCAACTCCATATTTTTAATTGAGTCCGTATTTAAGTTATTAAAATACCTCTCAAATCAAAACTCTCTTTTTCCCCTTTAAAACTAAATCATTAAGAGTATTTTACAGCAGAATTTTAATATCAAACCCAATTCTATTTTATTTCAAATATAATACTCCATCTGAGAACATCTTCATGACCTAGTGATTATATCGCTATTGTAGAGTGCTTTTCATATAAAATTTGACAGGTATAAGTTCAAATTTCACTCATAACATTTAAAAAATATATATATATATATATATTACTCCATCTCATTTGATTTAATTTCAATGAAAGAAACTTAAATCTTTGGAAACATCTAAATTCATTTTGAACTAAATTCCATTATAAATTTATTTGATCATACATATATATATATAATTTATAAAATTATATTTGTTGAAAACTGAAGAGAAGAAAAAATTTAAAGAAAGGTTTATTTCTTTTTTAATTAATACTGGATGTGCAATGATTTACATATGTAGGTATTTAAAAAAAACTATTTTAAAATATAAAATATTTACAAATAAATATAAATAATATAAATATGATCTAAATAATTAATTATTAATTATTGTGTTCATATGTTAAGAGTATTTCATTTCAGCGACATGAAGACAATGGAATGGATAAAAGACATCAGCGTCCGTGCTAATGGCTTTGAAAATGGAGACAAGATAAAAATGACTGTCAATGTTACTTACAAACACCTTGGCACCAAGGATGAAAGAAACGACTGGAAATCTGAAATGATATTGGGCCTGAAGCAAATTCTTGAAGACATGGGTATTTCTAAATTTACACCTCAAGTTGAACCACCACCTGTACCTGCGTTTTAATGATGACAGTCTCTGAGCTTACCCATATCTCTAATTTCTACATGATAGAGGTATGTAGCTTTCTCATGTATTTTTGCAAAATTAATTTCTCAAGAACTGTGGAGACAATATGCTATAATTGGATGGGAATTTCTGGTCCGATTCATGATCTACTCAATAATTTATCTTCTTAATTTCTTCCATAATGAAGGACTAATTTCAAATAAGAGATGGAGTGAGGTGTGAATGGTTATTAGCTTTTCTGTTATTTGGTCAATTTGGGTTTGGCATAAACCAAAAGAATTTTTCAGAAAAATGTGATTGTCTTAGATGGAAATTTTAGAACTCCTCAAGTTTTAGATCTTGGTTGTGGATAAAAGCTAATGGGCCCGGGCCCGGTCTTTTCTTTTATATGAATGGTGTTCTCCGAAGGAGTGCCTAAGGTCATGCTACAGCACAGCATCCTGATTTGGAGTCCCTGTTTTGGCATGGAAAGAGGCAGTATAGGCAGCGGCGGAAGCCAGAAATTTTAGTCGAGGTTGGCTTTTCAAGTCTTAAAATAATGCATTGTAATTTTGAAAATTTACTTTCATATCATAAATTAAAATAATACTCGATGAATCTTATATCATGAAATTTATCTATAATAGAATTTACACTAAATGATTGAACTATTTCCTTTTCAATATAAACAATCAAAGAGTTTTAAAGGAATTCATCTTCTATTTTGTTGTGAAATCTCATTTTTATAATTTTTATAGTAAAAAATACTCTTTCTATTGTTGCTGGTAAGGTGAAGAGATTCTCCACCTCCACATGTGAGGTTAGTAAATATAAAATACGACAACATTCTATTTCTTTACCCTATCATTTTATACAATCAAATAATTTTTTTTCCCTTTTTACAAGCTAATTAGAATTTATACTTTTATCTTCCTTTTATACTAATTTATCTTCATATTGCTTTTCTTTATATAACTATATCCAAGGTTTTTCCTTTTATTGGATTCATATATGTTCCCTTGGTGGATCTACACTTTCTCTTCTTTGTTTTTTTTTTTTTTCAATTTTTTTCCTCAAATCCAATTCTATTCAATATAACTTCAATATAACTTCAATACTATCATAATATTCAATTTTATTTGTAATTTCAACAACTCTAAATCCCAAAAAGAAATTATATACTTTTTTATGATAATAAAAAATCAATAAATTTCTCTACTTAAATATTACTCCCTTCATATTAGAATAATAGATTTTTTGTTTTATCTTCAAATTAAGGATTTGAAACAATTTCTATCTTTACATATTTTATACTTTAAAAAATTAAGAATAAATATCTACTTCAATTAGAAGATAAATAATTAAAATTAAGAGATAATTATAGAGTTAAAGTAGAAAAAAACTATTTATCTTCCTTAAAATAAAAAAATGACTATTATTCTAGAATAAATTTTAAATAAAAAAATGTCAATTATTTTAACACAGAGAGAGTATACTAATTTTTTTGTTAGAACATATCTACTAACAAGTATAAGATAAAATTTTAAAATAAAATAAAAGAAACTTACAAAACTTGAAAGTTTTTTTTTTTTTTTTTTTTGATAAATCAAAATCAAAATCAAATTTTATTAAGAGAATGACTACAAGGGGTACTCACCCATTAGATCAAGAAAATACACAACAGGGGGAAGGGAGTTAGGACTGGACTGCACATAAGATGGGAAACTGACACTAGTCACTTAAACAAAAACTAGCAGATTTCAAGCTTCCTTTAATCCAAGCAAAGGTCTTAACCTGCACTAAGTCTATAATATTATTCTCATCCCAAGAAAGTTTGTTAAAAATAATACCATTTCTGCAGGACCAAATGGCCCAAACTGTTGTAAAAATAGTGAGAGTCCAACACTGTCGTGCTTTCCTTCGGATCGGAAGTGAGCAAAGTTGGAGAAGTAGATGGGAGATGTTATTAGTATGGTTAACCATCAGTCCCCACCAGCTACATACACGGTTCCAAAGACTTTGAGAAAATTTGCACTTTGCAAAGACATGGTTTGCATCTTCCATATAATTATCACATAAAACGCATGCTGGGCTGGATACTAGATGAATGCCATGTTGTATGAGTTTATCCTTGGTGGGGAGGTGGTTTAAAAAGAGGCGCCAGGCAAAGACACTAACTTTAGCAGGCATCAATGGATTCCATATTAACTTGCAAATGTTCTCATCAAGGCAGGGAGGAGACACATCAAGAAACAAAAGTATGCCATTTTTGCAGAATATCTTGAGGGGCAGTGCTTCCAAATTTTTCTATCTGCCTTGCCTTCAATTAAAATAGCACTTCGAAGAATGTCTTCTAATATCTCAAGTTCATCCAGTTCTCTTCCAAAAAGGGATCTGTGCAATTGAAGATTCCAGCCCTCTCTATTGGTTGGTTTCAAATCAGCAACTGTCAATTCCTTGTCCAAAGTGAGGCTAAACAGATGGGGGAATTCATGCTTTAAAGGAGAGCTTTCCAACCAAATATCCTTCCAAAAGCTGGTTTTAGAGCCATCACCAAGCTGATGTGTGAAGCCATTTGAAAAGCACATGGTCGCTCTATCGGATACCTGACGTGAGAAGTGTGATTCATACAAAATGACAATATATGATTCATACAAAAAAGATAGTGTTGTTTTTAATCTTTACCAAGAAGTTAGTGGTCCCTTTGTCTTCAAGCTTTCAATGACGAGAGCAGTGTTGCAGTTGCTTGTATCAAATCATCGATGAAGTCTCTTTTTTCTCTTTTTCTATTTTTGAAGTTGTTGAGTTAAGGTTGATTGGTTGAAGAAGATTAGTAGTGGGATAGTGGTTTTAGATATTGGAGAAATTATGTAAAAGACATGAGTACTTGTTGTTGTTTTTTTTTTTTTTTTTTTTTTTTTTTTTTTTTTTTCTACAGAATCCAATCGTGAGCCTTGATATGTATGGGTTTTAAATAATAATAAATAGTTAAATTGTTGAAAATAGATAATAAATTATATAAATTATATTTGGCCTCCTAAAACAACCCATTATTATTGGATCTTTTTTTATTTTATGTATTTTAATAATTAAAAATATAATATTTAAAATTTTAATAATAATAATAATTAATTAATTAATTATATATACATATTTCAAATCCCAGGGGGCCACCGGCCCCCTGGTCTAAACGTCACTCCGCCCGTGAGTACAGGTATAGAGTTGGTAGAGTAATTAATACATGATGCAGATGCTGCTACTGGTGAGTTTCCAAGGGAAGAAATAGAGCTCTCATTCGCTGATTGCAGTAAGGAACCAGAAATTTTTTCTCAAAATGAGTTGATAATCTTTGATTGTTGTTGGTTTTATGTTCTGTTGATGCCCAGATGCAGACGCTTGGCTGTGTGAAATACTGGGATATATGTTCTGTTCACTTTGTTTTTTTTGGCAAAAGCCTAAAAATAGCCCCTTACCTTGATAAGTTGGACGGTTTTAGCCTCTTACCTTATAATATAACGGTTTTAGCCCTAACCTATAAGAATGGAAGAAAATAGCCCTTTTTTGTAACTTCCGTTCGGGGCTGTTATCGTCCGTCACTTCCGTCCCTTCCTCCGTTATGTTTCCGTTAACTTTCTCAAAGCTTCTCCAAGAAGCCTGCTGCATTTTTTTTGGGAATTCAAATCCTTTTTTTATTTTTAGAATTCTAACTTTTTTTTTTTACCTTTATTTTTAA